TGGACGGGTCCCTGCTGCAGTGTTCATGTGGAGGTCAGAGGTCAACCTCTGAAGTTCCTCCTTACTTTCCTCCCGAGACAGGTTCTCACTAACGTCTGCTACTACACAGCAGGCTGGCTGGGCTCAGAGCTTCTGGATTTCCTGTCTCTGCCTATCTCCCCGTAGGAACACTGGTTCCATGGGCCCGCCATGCACGCCCTGCTAACATGGGTCTAGAGGGCTCAAATTCAGCTCCTCAAACTTGCTCAATGTGCACTTTATGTGCAGAGCCATCACCCCAGGCCCACACTTAACCTTTTAAGGACCGTTCTCTTTATCGGGGAACAACAGTCTCAACCCTCTGTAGGGCACGGCACGCCCTCAGCACCAAAACAAGGTAGTCACATTTCTATTAGCTATAACTCAGCTGAGAGGCTGCTATTTCTGTCCTACACACAGAATCTCTACAGAGTCACGGTTTACATTTTTTAACACGGCCAGTTCACGTAGGTAACGCTGGAGCTGCCGGCAGCGGGTCTGCACGTTCAGCAGCAGAAACCACAGCTCCCACTGGCTGATCCAAAACCAGAATTCCTGAAAATAAGAAGTAAATGCCGCAGGTTCAGTGAAGTGGAACACAGACCTGGCAGCTGTTAGTGTCCTTCCCTTCTAAGTCAGGACAGCAGCTAACATGACAGGGCTTTCTGAAGCCCAAAGTGCGCGGTAAGAACGGGAGGGACTGCTGGGCTGGGGTCCCCTACATTCGCTTTAGCGCGAGTCGCAGCCCAAAGCACAGCCTGCACCGACGGACCGACGTGGACCAGCCAGGGTCATAACCTGCAGCTTTTTGCCACTCTCTGCGCCAGCGACCTAGGAACTATTTCAAAACTTGTTTTTATTTTCTAGGAGCCGAAGTATTGGTAAAACAGTTTACACAACTCTAACCTAGAGTCTTTAAATTTAGAAATTAATCCCTGAACACGTGAACTAATAATTGCAGCTTTCGGAGGAAATGACGACCGTGTAGCACTTTCAAAACTGTTAGCTTAAAGCAGAGGTGTGGACGCCGGCTGGCTCTGTTACCGTATCTCCAAACATCTTATGCGCCCACATACCTAACAGTTCTGTAGAAAAGTGCTGCATGCCTCAATGCTTTATTATTGTGGGGGGCACACATGCCACGACATGTCTCAATGCTTTATTACTGTGTGCATGGCGTGTATGCTCACACGCGTGTATGGAGGAAAGGACAATCTGTGGAGTGGTTCTCTCCACTCACCATTTTAATTCTTCATTTCATTTTGTTGTTTTTTTTTGTGTAGCCCTGGCTGTCCTAGAATTTACCATATAGACCAGGCTGGCCTCAGAGATCCGCCTGCCTCTGTCTCCCAAGTGCTGGGATTAAAGGCGTGAGCCACCACTGCCTGGCCACCTTTATGTGGGTTCCAGGGATCAAACTATGGTATCCAGGCTTACACAGCAAATCTTTGACCCACTGAGCCCTCTCACCAGCCCATGTGCTGTAATACTTTAAACAGACATGAAAAGAGTCTCTATAAGAAAAAAATAGAAATTAGCTAAAATATGCCTTTTTTTTCTTTTTCATTTTCTGAGACAGCTTTTCTCTATGCAACCCTCGCTGTTGGGGAACATTATTTTCAGGTGTGTGACTTTGTTTACGCTGCATTTGTTTAACTCTGTGAAGCTGTTACTGTGCCTGTCTAAAACACCTGATGTTTTAATAGCGAGGCAGGAGCAAGGGTAGGCGGGGCTGGCAGGCAGTGTGACTAGGAGAGCAGAGGCAAGCAAGGAACAGAGAACAAAGAGAGGAGGGCGGCAGGGGTCAGCTACCCAGCTACAGCAGGCCACAGAGAAAGAAGCAAAGGGAGGTACACAGAAATAGAGAAAGATAAAAAGATAAAAGCCCAGAGGCAAAAGTTGGTCGGAATAATTTAAGAAAAGCCAGCAAGAAACAAGCCAAGCTAATGCTGGGCATTCATATTTGGGAACTGGGTGGTGGGCCCCTTAAAAAGTTAGAGTAAAACATCATACAACACCTGGCTGTCCTGGAACTTGCGCTATAGACCAGGCTGGCCTTGAACTCACAAAGATCTACCTACCTCTGTCTTCCGAGCACTGGGATTAAAGGTGTGCGCCACCATGACCAGTGAAATATGCCTTTTTAAAATAGTAATGCATGCATTTGTAATTCCAGAAAATCATTTTCCTAAAAATTATTTTCAAATTGATCCTTAAACCCATTCTAAAACAATTTTAAAATGATGCCCAAGCTAAGGTAGCAGCATGGGGGGAGGGGGAGAATAAATCCTTACAGAGAAAAGGCAAAACAAGATCAGGCTTTTACAGAGAAAGGAGGAAAAGCCTGTTGCACCCCCCCCCCCCCGGGAGTGGTTGCTGAGCAAGTCAGCTGTGTGCTGTGCTCTCTCCTCCACTCACAGTCTCTTCAGAGGCTGGAAAAGCTGTGGAGGACACGGGGAGACAAGAAAGGGCTCTGCCAGGCACTGCGGTGCAATGGAGCTCTGGACAGTGGGTGTGTCTGTTTTGGTGCTTGGGTCTCAGGATGCCGCTTGGGTTAGCCTTGGACTTGGGAGCCTCTTGTCTCAGAGTCCTGGGGGCTGGGTTTGTTTCTTCTTGCAGGTTACAACCCATAAATGAGGGAAGTTGAGGCAGGAACTGGAATGGGGCCACAGAGGGCTCTTAACCAGCTTAAGGTGTGCAAGAAAATACCCGACTGGGGCTGGAGAGGGCTCAGTGGTTAACAGTACTGGCTGATTTTTCAAAGGACTAGGGATCAATCGGCAGCACCTAAATGGTGGCTCACAACCTCTATCCAGTTCCAGGGAACCCGATGAACTCTCTTTAGGCACCAGTCATACATGTGGCACACCGACATAAATGCACGCAAAACACCTATATGCATAAAATAAAATTTAAAAGTAAAACAGAGTTTGGACTAGTTTCAGACAGTTTCAGTTGTCTTGGCACAGGATTGCCCAGCATACTTGGACCCACCCTCCTGGGGTGCAGGTCCAGGAGACCATGTGGTTCCCACCCACACCACATCAGCAATGAGGTTATGACTCTATACACGGGCTGCTGATGAGAACACGGTGCTTCACGTGGTGTCAGCTCACATGACGGGAAGCTCTGTTGGGGGCTTCACATGGAAGGAAGTCACAGGAAAGACAAGTTTCTTCTGCATGTTATGCATGGATGCAACCCGAAAAATCCACCCACACCCAAGAACCAGCCCAAGGGCTCAGCAACAGGAAGGCAGAGCCAAAAGCACAGAGGACCTAAGCTAAAGACCTCAGATCACGTTGTGTGTGTGTGTGTGTGTGTTTGTGTGTGCGCGCGTGTGTATGTGTTTGTGCGTGCGCGTGTGTGTGTGCTAGGGGTTACCCAGCCGCTGGCCTTCTAGTGACATGAACTAATATATTTTCTGATCCATGCAGCTTTTCACTTGGACTTTGGTTCCTGCGGCTGAACATACTTTGTTCCGTGACAGCCTTCATAGGCCACAGACCGCGGCTGTGTTTGAAGGAACACTTGTGGCAGTTACGTTTGTTGCTGTGATAAGGGGTCATGACTGAACGGAACTTCTGGAAGAAAGGGTTCATTTTAGCTTCTGATTCCAGAAGGAGAGGCCACCATGGTGGGGAGGTGACAGTGCAGGACTGGAGCAGACAGCGAGATCACATCCTCAGGAGCGAACTGAAGTGGGGTGGGGTTGTGAACTCCCGAAGCTCACCCCAGTGATGCACCAGGGGGGCTCCATTTCAAAAACAGCATCGTCAGCTGGGCGCCAAGTGTTCAAATATTTGAACCTATGGGGCATATTTCTCATTCATCCCACAGGAACCAAAATTACAGCAGGAGAGTGCTGCTCCTTGATTTACATACCGTGTGTGTGCATGTGTGTGCGCATGCATGTGTATGTGCACATCTAAGTGAGTGTGTGTGTGCATGCGTGTGCAATGCATGTGTGTGTGTGCACGTGTGCACATGCATGTGTATGTGCACGTCTAAGTGAGTGAGTGTGTGCGTGCATGTGTGTGCGCGCAGGCCCGCAGCAGGCAGTCCACTTTCTCCGTGGGAAGGCGGCCACACAGCATCAGCCTGCACAGTTCCCTACCAAGCCTCTGTCAACTATGCAACAGTTGACACGTGCAGCTTGCTGGGACATGTGATGTTAAAAGCTATTCAACCTGAAAATAAACGAGGGCCATGATGTGGCTCTCTCTCCTATATATATTGAGTCTCACGATGCCACTTGGGTTGGCCTTGGACTTGGGAGCCTCCTGTCTCAGAGTCCTGGGGGCTGGGTTTGTTTTCTCTTGCAGGTTACAGTATTTATAACGATATATAAACAAGCAATGCTCCCAGTACTTTTGCACACTAAAGAGGTACCATGGACAGAGGGCTATAGACCCAGTCCGAAGCCCTGCTCTCCGCACTAGCAATGAGCATGGTGAGGGGAAAAACAGACAGCAGGCATCGGGGGCAGCAGGGGACCATCTTCTCAGCAGGCCAGGTTCAAAGGCCTGTACAGAGATGTGCAAAGAGATGCACATTGTAGGAAGAGAGCAAAGTGTGTGTGTGGGGGGGGGGGGGGTGAGTGACGTCTGCTGAAAAGGCAGCAGGCCAGGCTCAGGAAGCAGGGTACTGCAGGGCGGAGGGAGAGCGAACAGAAGTGGGATGCAGCCTCCATCTGGCCCTGGCTCCCCACAGCCCAGCAGAGCGACCGAGGTGGGGACAGGTGTCCCAGAGTGACGAGGGTGAGGTAAACTAAGTGGCCTAGCTGGAAGGAGCGTATCACGATCCTCATCCCCACACTTGAACCCATGGGCAGTGCACACTGACCAGTTCTGCAGCACTGACAAGACAAAGGTAAAAGTGTCTACACCAGGGTTTAAAACGCTTGGCTTTTAAAACAGCTAACTGCAGCCCACTGCAGAATCCTGAAACATGATACACGGAGAGAATGGGTGGCAATCAAGGACTTATAACTGTGTTTATTGGTGCCAATAAATTTATTATTTATTACTGAACAAATAATGCAGAGCACACAATGCAAAGAAACCAGCACGGGGCGGGAAGCAGGGACCTCAGATGCAGTGCGTTACATGGTACAGACATCCAGATCTACGGGAAGCTACTTCTAAAGCGCTTTGTCCTGGACACACTCTGAACTTGACTTCTACTGGTCTCCAGACAGACACCTACTCTCCCTCCTTGCATTCCACCAAACAGGATTAAGTCGGAGTAAGCCTCTGCAGGCTGATTCTGACGTCAGGAGCTGGGAAGCAGTTCCTTCAGCTAGGACACAGCCATGTGAGAGAAAGTATTGATACCTGGTATCTAAAAGCAGAGGAGAAAACACTGGCAAGCCAGAGGCTGGTGGCGTCTTTGCTACTGAAAGCAAAACCACTGAGTCTTTACTGTGGGTTTCAGATTTTACTTAATGAAAAATTATTAGGTTTCCATAATAACATAAAACATGACCTGTATATTACAGAACTTCAGGCAAAGGGCTTCCAAACACACTCTAAGAGGCTACAGTGGGGTCCAAATCTCTATCACATCGTGCACCTACACACAGCAGACGGGAACCATGACTCCAGCATGACATCGTTCGGGGCTCTTGAGGCAGACGGACTCCTCACCTCCGCTGTTGGACACTCACTGACCTAGTTGTGATGACCGTGACACACAGCGAGCTGGCAGGTGACCGTGGAGGACAGGATTCTTTCTCTATTGGCCACTCACTGGGGTTTCCTGATGTTTTCTGAGCAGGACATCTCAAAAATAAAGTGGGAGGAGTCTGGGGACTGAGTAGTGAACTCTACAGGCTGATTTTTACAGATGCTGCAATCAGTTTGGAATGAATCAAAATCATCCCACAGCAACCAAACGTTAGATCAAATCATCCACGTTAAAGAAAAGACTGTTAATTTTTAAGACCTGTCTGCCATGTGAGTAGCTTGAAAGCAATCTTTAAAATTCAAAGATTCCGACAGCTCTAATTTGCCATTTAGGTTGTGAGAAAAAAAATCAAAATTAAGTAGAAAGTTTCACTTTCCCCTCTTCCCAGGAAAGTGAGCAAAACCAGAACAGGGCTCTGACACAAATCCATGGACAAAACGGAATCAAAGGAAAAAACCAATCTGCTTTCCGGGGGTCACTGCTCCTCTCTCAGGGTGGGGTCCCTGCTGTGAGGCCTCCCCAGCCTCGGCCTTGCAAGACATTTGATCACACAAGCCTCTGGCAGATATTCTTTAAAAACAAGTCACAGCATTCCGAGGTAGCACTAGGATGCAGTATAACCCACCACAGGACGAGTTCAAAGGAACACTTCATTCTCCCGAAAGAGTCACGGTAAGCAAAAATCCAAAAACGAAAACCAGCCCTCGCTGCACCGCGCTGCGAATACTCTAAGAACCGAAGACCAACGCTGATGGGCCTTGCCTCATCTCTGGACCCTCAGTGCACCAGCTCAGGCTGGTTGTCCACGAAGGGCAGTACCCCGCTCACATAGTAGGCGATGCCCAGGGACAGCAAAGCAATGACCAGGATCAAGAGCAGGACCCTCCAGAAGCCCAGGTCCTCCACGAACTCCTGCCACGTGGTCCGGAAGCTGGACAGGACCCCTTCGCCCTGCTGCAGGTTGGGGTTGAGCAGAGAATGGCTTTCCATGGCACTGCAGGAGGAGGAGAGAAAGGGGCGTGAAAACACACTTCACCCTTAGAGCATGGAGAAATACAAGCTACAGTACCGAGAAGGCTAGCCCTCTGGTGCTGCAGTGGAGAACTGACTGTAGAGATACACCGGCCCAACAATGTGCTGGTTACAAACTCCTGAGGATCCACGTATCGGTCTTAGACCATAAACTGATAAACTGCAATGACTGGATCCCTGGTTTACTCCAGCAGGCAAATTAAAACTCCTGGACAGGACGTCCCAAAGGGTGTCGGGGAGTGGAGTGCACTTTGAGAAGTCAAAACAAAGAGCCTGGGTTTGGCCTAGTTGAAGTTTCATCCGCCTGAGCTGAAAGATTACTGAAGTGAACCCGGGAATGAGTATGATCAAGATACATTGCAAGCATGTATGAAGCTGTCAAAAAATAAAAACATTTTGAAAGATCCCAAGCAGAGACATTAAAATAGGTCAAATGCCTGTCTCCATCAAGACATTAACCCAAATCTATCTTGTTTTAGAAGCAGCCACACGGCAGCTCACAGCCAACGGAACTCCAGCTTCAAGGGACCGTCTAGCTCAGCCGGCACTGCACACATGTGAGGTAGACACATACATGCAGACAAAACATTCATATACATAAAATACTTTACTTTTTTAAAGGAATAAAACTGAGTTTAAAATGCTATCCAGAGAAAGGGAGCCAACTTGATTTTTGGGTCCTCCCACACGTCACCCCATGTCTCCCAGAGCCCGTGGAGAACAGCACAGTAAATTCACTGCTTTGGTCACAGCTAAGCGACAAGGCCGCTGCCTGGCTTGTCCCTTTGTATTTTCCCTCCACTCTATTTAGTGACATGATTCATGCTAAAAATTTCTTCTTTTTATGTAGCCAAGGATGATCTGGAAGTAACAGTGATCCTCCTGTCTCTGTCTCTCAGGGCCCCACTGCCTGGCTAAAATTCATCTTTTAATTATGCGACAAGGCGGTTCTGAGACTTTCAATGGTGTGAACCATCTCTACTGTCTAATTCCCAGCATGTCACCACTGCTGGTCTCAGACTCTGCACCCATTAGTCACTCTTATTGTTCTCCCTGACCCTCGTTACCACTAACCTACTTTCTCCCCCATGAATTTCCCTCTCTGGGACACCGCACACCAACAAACAGGCTGTGACCTTTCATGCCTGGCTTCTCCCACAGAGCATTTTCCGGTATCCATCCCGACCCTAGCATCTGCCAATACTTTACTCACTTTTACGGCACAGTAACACTCCCTTGGGTAAACAGGTAGCGTTTATGTTTCCATTAGCTGATGAGCAATTGGTGTGTGCCGAGAAGTGGAACTGTTGGGTCACATGGTAACTGTGTGTTAACAAGCTGTCAGGTGGGTTTCCAAAGTGGCCCACTCTTCTGTGCTGTCTCCAGAGGGTCTACTTTCCCCACAGCCTCCACAATACTACTGACAGCCCATTGCAGCTGTCCGCAGAGTTAAGTACTGTGCCAAAAAACCTGTGCTTTTGATTTGCATTTTATAAAGTCATTTTAAAATGGAATGAATCTCAGCTATGGTGGCACCGGGGGCAGAGCAGGGAGGAGAACCGCGCAGCAGTAGTGTTAGTAACCTACACTCGGGAGCTTCCGTGTCCACAGAGCTGACACTAACACAGACCCCTGACCGGCATTTGGAAAGCAGGGATTAACGTTGCTCCCAAGCTGCTCACACAACTAATCACACCTTAATTAATTAGCAATCATGACAGGCAAAATAAGGCCAAGTGTATTTCTGATAAAGAGTCCTACTGGCCAGTATCAAAAATGGGATCTCCAAAACACATCAAGAGAAACATGCATTCCGGCTGTTCTTCACCGGAGACACTGGGGCTAGAGAAATGCACGGCTGCTCCGAGCACGGCGTGACCGTGACCGCTCCGAGCACTGCGTGACGTGACTCCTGCGCCCACCGACAGGCCAGGCACCCCGCACTTGTAACCCCAGCTGCGAGGGAGGGGAGAAGTGGGGAAAACACGAGCCCTGGGTTCAGGAGAGACCCTGCCTCAAAAGAACGAGTGGAGAGCGTTGATGGACACCGGGGACCTCTCCTGGCCTCTCCACTAGTGCACAGACACGCAGAGCGGCACAAATGCACACACACACACATAGAGAGACACACGTAAATCTTTAAAAGAAGCTTAAAGTAATCTATTATTTTACAGGAAGATGAAATTACGTTTCCCGTTATTTTACGAGGCAGAGTTAACCACTGCTAAAAGTGCCCCTGGCCTGTGCACTCTGCTCCCTGTAGCATGAGGAGAAGGGCTACGGGTGCCTGACTCCCCGCTCCCTGCTTGTTGACTTCTAGAAAGCTCGAGGCTTCACAAGCTCAGTGAGAACCCTGCGCTCCTTTAGGACAACAGAAAGCTCTTCAGCAACTAACAAAGCAAAGCTAAGCGAGAGTGTGGAACCCAGCAGCCAGCAAAGGAAGAAGGAAGGTGGCCTGGCTGTGGAGACGTCAGAGGTGGGCTGTGAAGTGCTGGCCCTCGTGGCCCAATGGTGTATGGGACCCACAATGGAAGCCTGGGTGACCGAACACCAGTTCTCAGCTGTTCCCTCTGGAAGCTGGGAAGAGACGGTGTGTACGCTGGGAAGGGACAGCATGTACACTAGGAAGGGACGGTGTGTACGCTGGGAAGGGATGGTGTGTACACTGGGAAGGGATGGTGTGTACGCTGGGAAAAGACAAAGTGTATGCTGGGAAGGGATGGCATGTACTCTGGGAAAAGACAACGTGTACACTGGGAAAAGACAACGTGTACGCTGGAAGGGACAGCGTGTATGCTGGGAAGGGATAGCATGTACTATACCATCAAGCTGACAGCACTGACCTCACTTTCAAAAAGCCGAAACACCACGACAGCCCACCAGACTCCATGGCACTCCATGGTCAGGCGACTGGCTCTGCCCGCCAAGCTGTCAGGGCCAGAGGGCAGCCCACCCTGCAGCCCTTCAGACTGACCTCACCTTGCTCCCACCGTTACTAGATGAAAAGCAGTCAGATCTGGGGACCTCGCCGGCCACCACATCTGAGCTCTGGTTATAGAGAGAAGCCCAAATTTCAGCGCTTCCAACTCATGCAAAAGTTACTCTTTTCATTTGTCTGAGTTATGAGCGCTTGTGTATAGTCATGAGGGGAGCTGAGACCCTCGCACCCACATAATCAGGGTCTCACTATGTCACCCAGGCTGGCTTAGAATCTCCCTGCCTCAGCCCCGAGTCCCAGTATTACAGGTGTGTGTCTGGCACAGAATCGCCAGTGTTCACAGTCTTCTCCCTGCTCAGTTCCCAGCGCTTCACCACCGTCCTGTGAGATGACCATCTGCTCCTCAGATGCTACCCCGCTTGTCTGTCTACCTCTCTTTAATAAATCCCACTCTTGTGACCCACACTTAAAACTCGGAAGCCCCTTCCCTCAAACCCTGCTTTTTACCTGTCTCTCCTCCAACACGGGCACTGTGGCGCAGCTAACGGAACACTGTGGCTACGGAACTTTGGTCAAGTTCTGCAACTGTAATCTGAAGCCACAGCACATACATGAAGTAACAGCTCTGCGCCTGAGCACAGAGGGCCCTGGGGGCTGCTGATCAGCTGCACCCTCCGTACCTCTCGCTCTCTGCGGTCTGCATGGTCTCCAGCTTCGAGTGTGCGCCTCGGTTAAATCCTTTTACCTCCTGTTCTTCCAAAGACTCCAGCAACCGGATGACATCTTTATTCACGCCCCGGCGCTTGGCCAGAACTAAAGGGGTAGCACCTTGGTGGTTGCTGGAAAAGGCCACAGAGAGAAAGTCAGTGCAGTGGCCACGCCACACGGCTAGCCCCCATTGACCGCCATCAGCGAGGAAAGCGTGGGCCAATGATTCACAAGTCAAACCCAGAGAAGACCCGAGCAAGCCAGAAACAGATCACTGAACTACTGGATTTGTCCTTCCAGGAAAGGAAAAAAAGAACATTTAGATAAAAATAAAGAACAAATGTCAGTAAATAAAAGAGAAAAGAGAACACCCTAAGGATGAATTGGAAAGTCTAGTCAGTCTTTGTACATGTTGTGAGTATATTCATGTGTACATACAGACATGTATGTGTACACACAAACCTATAGACTCAGTCTCTGTATACATTATGCATATATCTTCATATATACTTGCACACATACATACTTATATACATATACATAAAAGGTTTAAGAAGAACAGAACAGACCTCAAATCACACCAGTTCCTGACCTATTCTCCTGTCGTCACAGAAACATTTGGGGGCTTGCTGATCCAGGAGGCCACGGCTGCAGCACACCAGGGCAGCAAGAAGCTGCAGCTAAAAGTTCAAGCTCAGCACTGAGACGAGCTGGCCTTTCCCACACAAGAGAGCAGGCATTTGGGTCAAACGAAACCGAAGCTGCACGGTGTCGTCAAACTGCAGCCTGAGGAGGACGCGGGCCCCAGGGCTACGATGAGGCCAGCTTTACAGAGGAACGAGGTCCACTCCACTCCCAGTCCCATCCTCTTACAACCTGTGTGACCTCTTGACCTACCTATTCCCTGTGTAAAATGGAAAAGGGGAGGCTGGAGCAGGGGCGGAAGTGCTCAACATAGAAACAATTGGATGGGAAAAATTTTTAAAAATAATAAAGAATGAGGATAAGAGACTAGAGCAGAACTCACTGTGAGTTTATAACAAGCTGATAAACAGCCCTCTTCCTGCTTCTGTTGACTTACACTTTACAGTTAGTTAACAGAAACCAACTTACTTCTTAGATACACACGCATGCGCGCACGCGCGCGCGCACACATACACGCACACGCACACACACACACACGGGAACACATGCACACAGGCTCCACGGCTGGCCTGGTATTCCCACACTCCCCTATAAAGGCTTCAGTCTTCAATGCCTTTCTGAACTCATCGTTACAACGGACCAGCGGGTGATGAGACCCCACCTGCATGACTGACAGCTCACAGGAAGAAATGACCGGCTTCAGAGGCGCAAAGTACTCACCAAATATCAATTTTGAGTCCGTTGGAGACTAAGAACTGGATGGTGTCCACGTGGCCACACAGGTGGAGGGCAGTGTTGCCCTGATAATCGGTGGCCAGGGGGTCAGCACCAAACTTATGTAGCAGCTGGCAGATGTCCACGTTTCCTCGGGCGGCGGCCAGGTGCAGGCCTGTTCTGCCCCTGCTGTCTCGGATATTGGGGTCAAAGCCACTTTCCAAAAGCCGCTTGGAATAGGTGAAGTCCCCATCGATGCAGGCTTGAAGCAAGGGCACGTTAGTCTGTGAGGAATCGTTGACAAAAACGTAGGACATGGTCGGATGTGGCGGGTGGGCACTCCTGCAGGAAGATGGGAAAGGTGACATTGCTGAGGTCAGAGACACAACTGCGCTTCCTGGCCTCTTCCTCACCACACAACAACAACCACAAAATCATCATCGCCCACTAAAAGATTTCTATTTTATTTTTTTCACATCTGCCAGATCAAAATGGTGTTAAATTACTGTAAAGTTCTCTTTTACTTTTTAATTTAAAAAAAAAAGTTGAAATATTTTTGAAGCTAGAGAACTGCTCAGATTTAAGTTCACTGTCGGAGAACACCCGTGAGCTGGAAGCTCTGGAAACAGCCGTCCGCACAGGCCACACCGCTGCGGCTCCTTGTCCAACAGTGGTGATCGCTCCTCACACCGTGCTTCCTACAGGAGACACGATACAGTGACGCCCCTAACCTAGAGCACATAGGATCTGAGGCAAAATTTAAGACTTCATTTTTTTAAGTTAAAGGAATTAACAGACAGATTTTAAAAACATCATTAAGCCAAAAGATGTTTACAGGATGCTAAGGAGAGCGATGAGGACAGGCCAAAGCCACAGCTGTTCCCAGTCCCGCCCAAATCCCCATCCCACGTGGTCCTGCAGCCCGAATCTCCTGGAGATCATGCACGAGACAGGCAGCTCCAGTACCAAGTCCCACTGGTGCTCCAGAGAGACCACGCCTGAGAAAGTCCAAGCCGAGCCTGGCACTGCCCTGCCTCAACCACAGGTGTGCCTCGGCTGCGTGACACTTGGCTTCAAGCTTCGGCCTCACTCTTTGAACTTGTGAAGAGAACACAGGCAGACGGCATTTACAGAGCAGGCTCTTTTTAGAAAACATTTATTTATCTATCATGTGTGCATATCTGTGCACACTGCATGTATGCACACCCTGATGCGTGTGTGAAGGTCAGAGAGCAACTTGTGGGAGTTGGTGCTCTTCTACCACGTGAGTCCCAGGCCCCACACTTAGGTCACCAAGCTTGGCTGTGTGCACCCTGACCTTCTGAAGCATCTAGCCAGCCCCTAGAGAGCAGGCCCCTTCACACAGTGAAGTCTTTCTGGAACATGAATGGCACTGGGTACTAAACCAGCTGTAACTCCCCTCCCACAGGCACTGAGTCTGTCAGGGTTCTCAGCTCTCCAGCCTGCGCTGCCTGATTCCAGAGCTCTGTGGCTGCCCCGGCTCTCAGGCAGGTATCAGCCCATACATCCTGAGGACTTATTCTGAGCAGATATCAAGATGGGGTATTTACAGAATGCTACACAACCATAGCAACATCAAGGTAAGCTGTACTACCCGACTTCCCATGAGAGTCCCTACAGGGACGGCAGTCTTCCTGGGCTTTCAGACAGATGACCTGAACAGGAACGTAGAGGGTCAGACAGGAAAGACTAGAGGCAAGCAATCAATCTGTCCACGGACAGGAAATGATGGGATCTTGACCTACAGCAGTGACAGAAGAGGGAACCTTCTGGAGAGGGACACAGAACACCACCAAGGCTGAGCAATTGGTAAGGCCAGCTCCAGACAGAGGTCAAGATGAAGAACACTGGCTGCAGCACAGCACGTGGACCAGAGTCCCATGACGTATGTAGCTCAGGCTAGCCTCAGTCTCACTGATGGCTTCAAGTAATAAATTCTTTATTTATTTCGGATTTTTGAGACAGGGTTTTTCTGTGTATCCCTGGCTGTCCTGGAACTCGCTCTGTAGACCAGGCTAGTTTCAAATTCAGAGATACACTTGTCTCTGCCTCCTGAGTGCTGGGATTAAAGGTGTGAGCCACCATCACCCCGATGAAATAATAAATTCTTAAAAATTAATTCCCAGGGCTGGAGAGTTAGCTCAACATTTAAGAGCACTGACTGTTCTTCCAGAGGACCTGGGTTCAATTCCCAGCACCCACACAGGAGCCTGTAATTCCAGTGCTGGGGATCTGACACTCTCACACAGACACATTTGCAAGCAAAACACCAAAGCACCTAAAATAAAAATAAATAAATCATTTAAAAAAAAAAGCACTTGTTGCTCTTAAATAAGACCAAGGTTCACAGCCATCCAGAACTCCGGCTGCAGGGAACCCAGTGCCCTCGTCTGACCTCTGTGGGCATCAGACATGTACGCGGTGCACAGACAGACACGGAAGTAGAACAGTCACACACTTAAAATAGGTCTAGAAAAATACTTTAAAAACTTAAAAAGGCATCGTTTCCACATAGTTGCTGTCTTCTCACTCAGACTAAAGAAGTAGTTCCATCTTAAGAATTCATTTAGGAAAACAGCTAACGGTTCTGTGGGCGCATTCTCTAGTTTCCCTCTGCACTAGTCACAGAAACAAACAAAACCGAACACAAACTGTCTGGGAAACAAGAGAGCATATTCCAAGTGTTTTCCCAAAGATAAGACATGTTGGCTACACCCTGTAAGAAATGATCCTTAAAACCTATCTACTTGGTGTTTTGATTCAGGCCTTCAGGCATGCAGGCTGGGAACCTTCTGGAGTGGCCCAGGGCTGGGTAAGGATGTGGCCCTTCTTGTCTGCTGAGGTGGGAAGGGAAGTTGGTCGGTTTCTGTCCTGGAGGAACTGCTTGACCTCAGCCTCAGTTAAGACTCCACAGGCAGACAGCACCTTCCCCTTGGTCAGGGAAGGGGCCTGCCCTAGTGCAGCCACAGTTCACTGCGGGTTCACACGCTATGAAGAAGTCTGCCCCAGAACACACCTCAGGTGAGAGGTAAGATAGTTCCTTGGTGGCCCCAAGAGCTGTGTCGAATTCCTAATAAGGTTCAGCAAAGAAAGCAGCAATGCACCCAGAACGATCAACAATGACAAGGAGCTTCCCTTACAGCCACGGTTCAGCGTGAGAAAGAACGCAGAGTTCTGGGACACACAAGCAGGTCAAGGGGCCCGTGCACATTCCACAGACCGCCTGAGGTGAAGCAGCCATGTGCCAGGCCCCCCAAGTGGCTGCTCAGCTCTCAGGTACTGAGACGGGACAATGGACGGGTGTGACGTGGAGCTGTGGCCACTAACAAGAAAGCACAGGCAGTAGAGCATGGGGTGTTAGCGACAGCGAGCGAACAGGGTTCTGGAAGTCACACGCAGCCTCTGGAACTCTAAAAGCATATTCTCCACAACATATCTGAGGCTAACCTTTAACTCTGGCTTCACTGTTGCAGGGCCACAGAATTGGGATCCAGGGTCTTGCACAAACTAAGCAAGGGATCACCCACTGGACAAGGCACACTGGGAAAGAGAACGGGGGGGGGGGGAAGGTTAAAAAAAAGCCAAACCTTGTCGTTAAAGCAAACCACCTAGATTTAACTCAGTGTTCTACTCTCTGTCCTTTCTGCTGCCATGCCGAGATCTTAACCGTGTGTTGCCCACCCTCAGCTTCCCCTGGGCCCACGTGGGTGGCCTCTCTGTACACCAGTGTACCCTGACTGACCACCCAATGCTTATGAAGAACTGTGAAAGCAGGGTGCTGGGCAGCCAGTCTGGATCACAGAAAGAGCAGCATCAATCAATAAAATTCACTGTGCCTGAAATCCTTCATTGTTAGCTGGCTGCACATAAAATTCAAATCTCAGAGTCACCATGAAGGTGAAACTTGTGTTGATCTTTTACTGGTCATGCAACACTGCTATCCAGCACCTTTGTGCACACAGAGAAACCAGTAACGGTGTCCGGCAAGGCTCCGTTCACAATGTGCATATCAGACCATAACATGGGAGCGGGCAGTGCCGGCCAGGAGCTGGGGGGCGACAGCTAACAAGCCAGACAAGGACCACAGGCTATCAAGAAACACTCTAAAGACACGCTAATGCACAGGGCCTTCTGCTACTTGTAGTTTTCTGGGCTCCACATCAATTTGGACAAATGTCCTGTGCTGCCCCACTTCACGCAACTGCTCTGAGCGCTTTCCATGTTCGTCCTGAGTGGTGAAGCGGGCTCGTCACTCGTGGTCCCTCTAGCACAGATTCGGCCTGAGTTCTCAGGATGAAAGGTGAGAGGGGATGTTCTAAAGTGAATTCATGTCACAGAAGAGCACTCTGAGCTCCTTGTGCGGGGTACAATGACAAACCACACAGTTACAACCCAGACATCCTACTGTCCTCTCTGGTCTGAGGAAAAGCCAGGCCTCAGCCTTCCTGGCAACCAGTGCCTGGTAACCAAGTACACTGTCCAAACTGCAGGTCAGAGCTAGGTGAGTCCATGTCTAATGATACATGAACACATCAGTCTGAAGTGCAGGAGAAGAGCGGCCCCAAAAACCTCAACTCATACATCAACCACTAGAAATCTAGACCTTCCCCTAAACTAAATAAAAACCAGAACACAAGTTAACTATTGCCCCAGGGGTTGGGACTTTATAATTAAATTTATTTGGAGACACCTATAGACCCTTGTAAGATAACACAGGAGCCGCCATGTCTCCTTTCCTGCTTCCCTGACCGCAGCACCTCACAAGCCTGCAGTAGGACATCTCACTCAGCATGCAAAACACTACAGTTAGCACTGACACACCCAAACACTGGGTGCTTGCAACACTGGGGGCTGGCAAGCTGCTCCTGCTTTGTCTCTAAGACTTACTTACTTTTATCATGGGTATCAATGTTTTTGCCTGAGTGCACACACACACATACATGCTCAAGCATCACCTACATGCGTGGTGCCCACAGAGGCCAGAAGAGGGTGCTAGAGATGGTTGTGAGCTGCCACACAGGGTTGGGAATGAAATCCTGATTCTCTGTGGGAGCAGCATGTGCTCTTAGCCCTAGGCCCAGCCCACTCCTACTTCCTTCCATCTTCTCAGCCTGAGAAGCCATGGTGTGCCTTCCACTTCTGGAACCACTGGAGAGCACAGCGTAAGTGATACCACAGCACCACACGTGGGCCTTTGCCTGGCTCCTTTTTACTCAGCACAAGTTTCTTTCATATAAGGTTGTGTATGTGACTGCTCTTTTACTCTGAGTGCCATTTCTTGTGACAGGCAGACCATTGCTGTTCACGATGAGCGGCCTACTGAAGGACACTCGGTCGCAACAGGAATTTGTAATCACAGCAGAGCTTTTTAGGGAAGGTATCAGCTTATTTGTATTTGCCATGGAGCACCATGGTGTGCATGAGGGAAGCAGAGGATAACTTCTGTTTTTCCCTCCACCAGGGATCTATGTGGGTTGCCAGGCTGGGCAGCAGCCCCTTCCTTCACTTACGGAGCCACCCGCACGCTGGAGTTGCTGGAAGAATTGGTGTAAACGTTGTGTGAGGCCGCTTCTTCTTTTCTCTTAGATAAATGGTTAGGAATGTAACCACTGATGTGTAGTAAAACCTAAAAACTTTGACTGAAAGACTGCTGGGCCCAATGGTATCATCTTTCCCACGCAAAAAGAACATAACGACGTCATCTTTGGAGTTTTTTTTCTGAGGGTCGAGCTATTTATAGGGCTCTGTAGGAGCATTTGGAAGGACAACCAGAAGGCCTGGGACAACCAAAGGGTCACCTGACAAGACCCATCCCAGTGCAAAGTTAGGGGCACTAACACGGTGTGAACAGTTGACTCGCAGCTTGTGAATGTCACCCCCTGAACGTGGATCTGAAAGTCAAGTCCACACAATGAGGGCTGATTCTGAGGTGGAGGAGGCAGGAGGGTAGATGGGAAGCCCAGCTCATGTGAGGGGCAACCACACAACTGCTGAGCCAGGTTTCCCGCTGCTAGAAGCTGCCTTGGCCACCACAGACCGTGCCTGGCCCTACGCTGCCTGTGAGTAAAGCCAGCTGGGCTCCTTATCAGTTGTATGGCTCAGCCCTCCGTCCCCATCACCGCCAGGCTGAGCACAGGGCCCTGCCGTGCCGAGGCAATGCACACTCGTCTCTTGGTAACAGAGCAGCAATGAGGTGACTTCTAGTGAGGGCTGGAAGGGGGGAATGTCTGGGGAAAAGAACTGGCTCTGTAGAGTCAAACACAGTGGCCTGAAAACATGCGCAGCCTGCGGTGGAGGCCGGCGGTGGAGGCCAGAGAGCCCCAGAGAGCACCCTGCCCTTCATGAGGACCATGGTTTAAAGGGCAGGGTGCATAAGGGTGGTCCATGGATGGACACAGGCATGTGGGCACTGTCACAGGAGTACGGGGTCAAGTCTGGGGTGGGCTGGGACGCAGCCTCACAGTTAGAACTCTTGCCTGTGCAGTGCTGACAGCCACCCACTCTGTGGGACGGAGTAGTTAGCTAGCGTCCCCCATGCCAACCAGCTCTGACCTGAACCCTGAACCCAAACAACAAACCAGCAAGGAGTCCTGGGTGGAAGCCTGAGAGCCTTGATGGAAAGTTCTACCGACCACGCTTGTCCATTTCTATCCCAAACTCTGGACACACAGCCTCGATCAATGTGGAGTAGGTCTGGGATCAAATTCTCGGTGGTCAGGCAGCAAAGTAAGAGGCTCTGTTTAGTACAGCCTGTGCTGATGACCTTAAATCTGTTTCCATATCCAATGCCAACAACCACCGTACTGTTCTGTATCGATTTGTTTTTCACTTTGAAAGTCACTGGGAAAGGCGTGACCAAGTGTTACATTCCCAGTTCAAATGCTCTGATGACATCATACCTACGGGGCAACTGCAAGGAGGGGGATTAAAGCTAAGACACTGGAGCAAATGTAAACAAAGACTGGCGGCCAGGAGGGCCCCAGCTGTCTATCACTGCAGAAAGAGGCGCTGCGGTGAATGGATCCCACCTGGATCTTCTACATCCTACTGGTTACTGTCATCTCTGTAAAGGAATCCAGGGGCTTCCAGATAGAATATAACCTTAACGAGCCACACAGCAAGAGTTTGAGGAAGCCATCAAATCCCGACACTGTGCGCAGTGACTGATGGGGAATCTTTAAGAGGTGGGACCAAGTTAGGGTGTGGTTTTCTGGGGCCCAGGTGCTGTCTCTCTGGGGCTCCCTAGCAGTACAGCTGATCTTGACTTCTCGTTCCTGTTTGGTGAGTTTGCTCCTTATAATAAATACAAATAAAATTGTTCTATCTGTTAGCTAGTGTGGTTATTTCACGAGGTAATTCAACAAATGACTGCCCATATCCCTGCACCTACGGCTCCACAGATCTCCTAGTGAGCAGTGACTGTCCCTAACCCAAGTCCACGCAGGTCCACAGATCTCAGGCAAGGGAACATGTAGGGGGAGTGACCCTGACTCAAACCCCAGCATGTTCTGTGGAAGGAATAACAAACTTTGCAACTTGCTCGTGGTGGTCGTACAACTTCCTGACAGAGGCTCGGTGCCCAGCTTGGTGCCCAGTGAGGCTGGCTGTACCTGTGAACGCGGTTCCTCTCTACGGCTCAACCGAAACAGCGACTGCAAGCTTGGTGTCACTGTGAAAGCTGCAAGTCTGGGGTGTGGTTCATCTTAAACCAAGTTTGATTTAAAAGCTTATCTTTTTATTTTTAGGACTCTTATATTAGAAGTGCCTGGGGATTAAATTTCTATTGATCGACCCTATTGATGGTTAAAATGTGAACTTGTAAGCTCTGAGTTATCTCTCCTAAATAAAGCTAACTATGCAAATATTCATTTGTGGTTCATTTTTTTCCTTTAAAAACAGATTTTTAAAAAATATGTATGTATTTGGTGCCCTTGAAGGTCAGAGGAGGTTGTCAGATACCCTGGATCTGGAATTACAGGAGATTGTGAGTCTCCGAGCCAGTTCTGAGAACCAAACTCAGGTCCTCTGCAAGAGCAGCCACCTGTGGGCACTCAGAAGGAGGGACAGCTGACCATATTCTGCAGGTTCTGGTACAAGCACGCTGGGGAAGAAACTGGACAGTCCTCTGAGCACAGCCCAGTGCACGGAAAGGAAGACGTTAGCGTTGTCTTTTGACATTAAAAACGGACATTCAAAATAAGCAATGTTTAGATGAACACAGATCTACGGCCAAGACATATTCTCACTATACATCCAAACGTGTAGAGAATTCAGTCTGTGGCACTTGTAACATTTTAGTCCTGTTTCCTCCTGAGACACGGCTTCATGTAGCCCAGGTTGGCCGCGAATGTGGCTGTGTAGCTGGTGTGTGCCATCAAACCCAGTCTGTGCAGAACTAAGGAGCAAAGCCAGGGCTTTCCACAGTCGAGGCAAGAACTCTACCAACTGCCCTACATCCTAGCCTAGCCCTAAAATTCAAAATTTTGTAATTTCCTCAATGCCATCCTATCAATTATTTTATAATTAAAACTTAATTAACAC